GTAGGATACCTACAACTAATAGGCCTAGGTAAGGTATTGAAATATCATATCATTAGGCCCAAGGCTAGGCCTATCTATTTCACCAGTAAGACAAAAAAAGTAGGCCCTACGCCATGGCATGGTTATTGATCCCATTTCACTTGATTTTGGAGTGAGCATTTTAGTTCCCTACTTTTCATTTGCTGTACTTCTGAGCTTGCACACATTATAACCTTTTTTGATATAAATTTCCAATTTCTTTTTTTGCTGGTGATGTACAGGTTTCTGGACAAAACGGCAAAAAAACCAAAACGGCACCACTTTTTGACCAGAACGGCAATGGACCAAAATGGCAATAAGTCAAAACGGCAAGACCAAAATGATGCTAAACAATTTATGTCATAAAAATAAAAACGTAAAAAAATAAACTAATTATAAACATGAAAGTGCATTACGATTAAATACGATAAAATGAGGCTAAATAGCAGCAGCAGCCGTAATAATATCATTAACAATAATAATAATAATAATAATAGAAATAGTCATACAAATTCAATATTAAAAAGATGGGGAGGGGGGAGGGTGGAGAACAATATAAAAGCAGTAAAACATTTAAATAAATAAAACTTTCAAATACAGACAAAATGAGGCTAAACAATTTATGTCATGAAAGTAAAAAATTGTGAAATAATAATAATAACATTAAAAGTGGGAAAAAGAGCCCATGGCAATATTCAATTTGCCTATCGGGCCAATTTCAAAATGATTCAGAAAATTATAACTGCGGCCTGCGCCAGTGGCGCTTGCTAGTCTTGGCATTGATTTCATGTTCCACATGTCTGACAGGATTTACTGGCGAGTGATCTTTCTCTTTCTCAGCTCCTACACTTCGCTTCCAGCTGATCTTTGTAATATCACCTGTCCCATTTTATTTTTTACTCAACTTAAAACCTACCTATTTTTGTAAATTTTTACTAATCTGTTTTTCTGTTCTTTTTATGGGATTCTTCTGCAGCTGTTTTTTCAGTTTTTGTCTTAGCACAGGTGGCAAATTACCTTTTAACTTTAATAGGCACTTTATAAGTTTTTATTGCATTACTGTATTATTATTTAACCATTAAAACAACAAAAAAAGTAGGCCTACACTGTGGTTATTGATCCGACACGGGAACCCAACTGCCCAATGTTACTATTAGAAGTCTGACACATTATTGTGCATGCGCAATGAAATAAGCTCATTGATATTTCTAAGTCAAAAACGTCGTGAGCGAGGGTTGAAAAAAACTAAAACATGAAATTACCTCATATAGTAAAAAATAGAAGATTTTTTTAGTTTTTACTAAATAGAGGTAACTTCATGCCCGACTTCATGTTTCAGTTTTATTTCAACTCTTGCTCGGGACATTTTTGACTTAGAAAATATCAATAATCTTTCATTTCATTGCGCATGCGCAATAGTGTGTCGGACTTTTAACATTGGGCAGTTGGGTTCCGGTGTCCGATCAATAACCACAGCGAAAAAGTATGGCTTGGCTGACTGGCTGTATTCAATCAAAATGGTTTTTTTTTTGTTTTTTTTTTTTTAAAGGAAAGGGTGAATTAATTTTACACAATCAAAATTGGATCAGTCTTTGAAGTTATCCAATTATAAAACCGCCTGCTCAAGACAGTTATCTTTCTTCACTTTAATAATCGATACTAATGTAGTACTGACTATAACATGTGTTACAAAAATATAGCTATATTGTGAACATTAACATTTTATTTTCAGATGGAAAAGTCTTTGCTTGATCAGCACGAAGCTTTTCACAAGAGGAAGTTAGCTGTTCCAGTGATTGAGAAGAGGAAACCAAAAACAGAAGCAGGTTCTCAACCACCAACAAAGAAAAAAAGACCCATCCCAGGTACTGTTGAAGAAAGTTGAGTGTGTTGAAACCATTTGTGGCAAAGACAAGCCAAACCAGTCACTCGTCGCAAAAATCGATTTTGAGTTATTAATACAGTGTTAGAGAGTAAAATAATAGCTATAAAATGGTAAAAAAATCATTCAACTCGGACATTTCCTTATGAAGTTACAAGCATTTAACCACACAGCTGTTTAAAGAACAATATATGAGAAATTAGCCGTCAAAGTTTATGATTTCAGGCATTTCTCATGCAGAAACTATCTTTAAATCCTTAAATAGTATTGTTTTAACATTGAAAATGGGGAAAATAACAGCATAGAATGATGTGTAGATATATAAAGGTTAGTTTAGTGCAATAAAATAGATTTTTTAAAATTTGACATTCAAGCATGTTTTGGCCATTTTCTCTGAAACACGATTTGCGACGAGTGACTGGTTTGGATTGTCTTTGCCACATTTACTGTTACTTAGGCCTATATAATGTGGATCGGCAGCACATTTACTTAACATCTAGATGTGTATAAGAGACAGACCCCCCCCCCCTTGGATATTGTTGCTAAGTTCCAAAAATGATGGCATTACCGTACCTTGCAAAATAAAATGCATTTGTGGAATGTGCACCTTCAATAAGCATATTCATTTTCATTCTTTGATATATTCCAAATAATTTTTTGGTAAAAAGAACCCACATATTTTAATCTGTAAAATTTAGGTTTATTTTCATAAATCCAAGAATCAATATTTCACTTGTGTTTTGAGTTTGTATGTTTTTTTTTTAGATTTCAGAAATGACCGGCACAATAAAAACCGAGGTGCCATCAGTGGCCATGGTGGGTTCAACTACAAGATGTTTCAAGGAACCTCTAAGAACAAGTTCAAGATCTTGGCGAATATCATCAACTTCATGAGAGATCGCTTTAAAAGAGGATGTAACTACAGTCTAACCGTTGATGAAATACTGGACGAGACAAACATGTTGGATGTGTCAACTGCTAACAAAGCCTGGCTAACAAATGATGTAAGTAATACCAATCACAGTGGCGGATGCTGGAATTTGAAAGATAGAAGGGTGGGGGGGGGAGGGGTGACTGATGAGGGAGATTTATAGATATGGATTTGTTCAAGACAACCCAGCCCCACAATGGTTTGGGCTGAGTAAAAAAATGTTGTATTTGTAACACCTAGTTGGCCTGTAATGGCACTTTCATTACAGGCCTTTTATCCTGTCATCTTTTCATTTTTCAAAAAAAATTATTGGGGTGGGTGGGCGTAAATTGAGATGGCTACCTTCCTCGCCTTGAATCCACCTCTGAATTATACACTATCAAATACAGTATGTGTGTGTCACATTTGATTGACTTCTGTGGTAATTGCCTCTTTTTGATACTGCAGGGGAAGATCTAGAGGTGCCATATAGACTATGTCTCCCTCCTCCACCCAAAAAAAAAAAAAGAGAGAAGAAAAGAACAGAAAGGTGAAAGGGGAGCTTGGTATATTTAAATTCCATGTTCCAGTATCTATAGTCAAGTATTTCAGAAAAAAAAAAATCTCAACGTTGGGTTATTTTGTTGCGAAACAGCACTTTAAAAAGGCCTCTTGTAAAGTCTAAGAGTGCCATTTCTGAATATCTAAAGGTGTCTGTTCTGACAATTTGCTACAGCCATGTTGTGGGTGATGTGGATGTGTACCCACTGTCAGGAACGTTGGACCTTCCATCGAGGAACTTTGACTGTCTGTCGGAAACTTTGGACCCCTTTATTTAAGCCTTACCACTTCTTGTTTCTCAACTCACTTTTTTCTCCTTTTATTACAACATCAGGCATTGCCAAATAATCCCAAGATTACTGTTGAGGACGGCGGGTACAAGTACAAACCGAAATTTAGTATACGAGGAAAGAAGGAGTTGTTACGTCTGCTAGATAATCATGATCAACACGGGAAAGGAGGAATCCTGCTTGATGAAGTCATTGATAGCTTACCACATGCTGAGAAAAAAATTGAGGTGAGACTGCCCTCTATTGATTGTATTTACCATTAGTGGATGTGTTTAATCTTGCTCCTAGTAGAAGCATCTGTTTACTGCTTGTCATAGATTTTTTTTGAGTACTTACTATGTGGTATCCCATAATTCTGTTCTTTGAACTCTTTGAACTCTCAAACTGAATTTATTCTCACAACTTACTGCAAGTGAGACAATAACCAAGTAGACACAAAATCCAATTCTTGTTATAATACTTCGTGGTTTCTAAATAGACCAATGGTATACTATGGTTTAACCAGCTCACCAGCTTAAATATTAAAGCCCACAGTTACTAAAATAAAAAGAATACAGTTTAACTGTTGAAAGAAATTTATTTTTTTAAAAATATTTCTCTACCTTTTTTAAAATTTATTTTATTATATTTATTTATTTATTTAGGCGCACAACATATGTACCAAGGATTGTCAATAACGAATATATCACTGTCCTACTTGTAAAATAAAAACACTGGTTACAGTAGCACTTTATGAACTAACTTCAATTATTTATTACACAAGGTATCACCAGCAGTCTATGCTGGCTTCATCAGGTGCAGACTGTTAGTCTATAAAGTGCTACCAGTGTTTATGTTGCATACATCTACCAAACTAGTTTAGGGAGTGGAGTTGATTAAAAAGAAAACCTGCAGCACTGATAGGAATTGAACCCAGGACCCTGGGATAATTCAACTCCATTTTTCTGTCATTGTTGATTGGTTTGTTTTCAATTTTCAGGATTTAGGTGATCAGGTGATCATAGTTACAAGGCCATTAGATAAGAAGAAAGTGTTATTTTATAATGACAAAGATTGTCAGCTTGAAATTGACGAAGGTAACATTTTTATTTTTATTTATTTTGTTTGGTATAATAGGAATAGTTGGATGATTTTGAGGTCATTGGCCTGCGGTGACCTAAAACTGATATTGATAATGATGTTGTTAACAGCCACTTATATTTTAATGATATACACAGTACAGTCTGTGGTAAAATCTGGAAAACCCCGCAAACACTATATTTATTTTTTAATTCATGTGAGCATATGTTTTTTCAGCAGTGCCAGCTATTTAGCACATTCAGATGAAGATTTGTAACTAGAGGGTGTTTCTAAGGCTCATCTGAACCCATTTTTTTTATTATTGAAGGATAAAGGATAAAGGTAGAAGAATAACCCATAATTCGCAGCATCATTGTGCTGAACTGCGTATGTTTGTGGTCCGCAACTACCTAGCGGTCGTGAAGAGGTGTTTATAGTAGCTACAGGTTCACATCATTCCACAACGACAGGGGCTGAAATGAACCATAGCATCGGGGTAACCCCCTACTCTTCCAAAAGATGCAATGGTTTCCTTGAAGTGCACACGAGCCAGATGTGTACACTGGACCCAGCCCACGAATTTCACGTCGGCAATTGCCGACCATATTTTCGAGCCAGAATTGCTACAGGACAACAATTTTTTGCCGACCTAGGCCTAGATTTCTTTGCTTCAAAAACTGCTTGGAAAGTCAAAAACAGGCTATAGCAGACACTAAATTTCATTTACGTCATCAAACCAAGGAATTGGTGGTTCATAAAACAGATTTGTTTGTACAATAACTATTTCTAATAGGCATGCAGTACGTACAATTTGTGTACAATCGTATTGTCTTTTTCGCCTAGTCGTTTCGTAGGCTAGGCCTAGGTAGGAATGACGCTAGCCAGCCAAGGCCTACAACATCGCCCAAATGAAGCCACGTGGGCAGCGTAGATCGTAATTCTTCTAAATCTATTATTTGTCTTCATTTTACAGTATTATTATCATTTTTAAAATGTTGTTTATTGTCTAAAAACAACAAAATTTAACATAATGTAGGCCTAATCCTACCGTCCGTAAACGCAATCACGATCGCATCGTGACTTCACTACTGACAAGTACACCGTACATGTGTGGAAAATCCCAAATAGATCATTATGGGCATGCGCATGGACTTGCATGGGCAGTTTTGAATCAGCCTGTGATGATACGATCGTGGCTTTTACGAAAAGTGATATTTCCCATGCCAAAGATAACAAAAAAATGACGCTGAAACGAAATTTATTCGGCGATTTTCTTATGTAAAACATATGTATTATACTAGACTATTAAATTAATACAAGTACAGTACGACCATTCTTTCACCAGCAATATATTGATTTAATAGAGAAATTAACAAAATCACAATCTGTAGATGACGATGTAAGGTCAAACGTTCGGAAAAATCGTAGTTTATACTATAGGCCTAGGTAGTAAAAAATTGCCGAGGCTGCCGACCTCGGAGAATTTTCCTAATTTCATGGGCTGCTGGACCTCTATTTTAAGTCCATATCCAAAAAGACTTGGTTCTACCAATCGAAACCTGGGTGAGGAGTGACTGGAACCACTGCCGATGTGAACGCTATAGTTAGTGTCCCTGCCTTACCGCTCAGCCACTCGACTTCTTGCATGAAAGCCCTCTCTCCTTGCATGAGTAAAATGCTTCAGCTCCAGGCAGCTTTCACCCTGATCCCCACAAGAGCTATTCTCCTGGATCCCATCAAGGCACCTCTAGTGCCTCCCGACTTCTGGCTCTTTTAGAACCCTTTTAGGTTAGCGGCTTACAGGCCTGCAGATGCAAACAAGAAAATAAAATAAAATAACAATATTTGATATCACAAACAACACAAAATTGATTTATGATAGCAGCATTAAAGCGGAACATTAAAACATTTAATTGCTCCCATGATAAAAAAGTAGCAATTAAAAGCTTCTAATGAAATTAAATACTGTATAGAAATCATTAAAAAAATCGGCCAATTTAAAGGTATTGTTTATGCATCCAAGTCTCAAGGTCTCAGTTAAGACAACATCAAGTTGTTGATTTCAAAGTAACTTTGCAATTAAGCAACTTCCAAGTAATGAATAGACTGTTCAAGTTTATAAAGAGAAATAGTTTGTCTGTGCCATTCTGGGCCAAATAATACCCAAATATTGATATAGCGCCAATTCCAAATTGAATTGGCGCTGAGCGTTCATTACCCCTGGTCACTGGATAACATACAATAAACCGATGATTTTTCCATTGCAATACCTTGTGCTATTTTTTTTTGTGTGTGCTGTTAACCCTTTGTGGTCTTTTGTACTAACAATTTTTGTATTTATATTTATATTCTTTACATGTATAAGCATCAGGGGAAAGAATTTTACTTGTGAATTTTTTCTATAAGTGACAATAAAAGTATCTTGTATCTTGTATCTTGTAATAGCAAACCAGCACAAAGTGCAACCTTCTCTCCTCTATGGGGAGTATACAGTGTACCAGTCGTCCGCTTGTACTCAGTGCACGAAACTAGTACATTCCATGCCACAACATCCTACCAGGTACCCATTTATACTCCTGGGTAGAGAGAGACAAACATAGATAGTGCCTTGCCCAAGGACATTTAAAGACTTGCCCAAGGACATTTAAAGACTTGCCCAAGGTATCAACCAATTTTCTAAAAATTGGTACAAGTCTTAGATTTTGCAGACATTGATTTCTTGCAATCATGTATTATTGTATATAATGAAAACATGCTGAATAAACTGTTGCACTCTAAGCCATTTTGGAATAATGCCTTTTCAAATGCACGCAATTCGTGTTATTTAATATTTTGCATTTTGTAATGCAATTTAGAGCAGATTTAAAATAAGATACGAAGCTGAATTGTAGTACCTAAGGTAACTTTGAACTGAATGAACACAGATCCAGCCTTGGAGCAAATGCATCTTATCTCTTATCCTCTCTACGGGCTGATAGCTAAATGCCAATTTGTTCTAACATATAGAATTAATTCCCATTTTTACACCCATCTAAAACCCATAAAATCTTGATTATCAGAAAAGCTTCATACTGCATGTGTGTATTATATCTACTGTACATCTGTTACTGTTCTCAAGTCTTTACTCAAGACTATTTGTTTTCAAAATTCAGTTTTTGTGATTTATTTTTATTAAAGTTTTCACCACTGCTTCATTTGTGAATTTTCTTTTCTGCTTGGGCATGGGCAGTTGCATATACTTGCTGTAGTTTCTTGGGGCATGATATGGATTCTATTGCTTTTTATCTGAAAAGAAAGGTGCTATGTAAACACTGGGAGTGATAGTGAGTGACATATAGTATTGTAGTCACATGTTGTTATCCTCAAGCCATAATAGAAAAAAAGACTTTCAGTGAAACTCAGATCAAACAAAAAATCATGCCGCCAGCCAATTTGAATACAATGGTTTATGTATCTAACTTTCAGTTAAGAGAAATTAATTGTTGAATTAAAAGTATCAAGAAACTTTCCAATTAAGCAATTTCCAAGTAATGAATAGAAAGTTGAAGGGTAAATCGGTTGACTATATTTGAGACAAGGAAGTTTGTGTGCAAAATTATTTCACTAGCGTTAAGTAGAGTATTGAACATTAGTGCCCATAATGTTTCTCTTTGGGTGTTTATTGATTCAATGATTACTTTACTTAAGTAGGAAAATCTCATGATGTCACTATCATTATCATCACTTCCGGCATTATATTGCACCTTTCTTTTCAGATTTAAAAAGCTAGCCACTGTGTTTTCCCTCAAAAACCCACAGCAAGTATATGCAACTGCCCAAGCCCAAAGAAAAAAGAAAATTCCCAAATGAAGCACCATTGAAAACCATAAAAAAAATAAAAATCCAATACCTTTGTTAATATAACATTAACAGAGATCAGGGTTCATATGAATGTCAACAATATACAAAGAAATATTAGGGAGCTTTTGATTTGTGCGACGACGCAGCGCTAGAACGGAATCACTCATGCGTGACCGTCCTACCTGGCGTCCTACGTTCTCTGCATATGTAGATTTGGCCAAATTGTGATCTTGAGGTGCGATCTTAACGTTCTCGCATGCGCAACAGTCACAACTTACCTTTGTTTTTGGTTTGTTCAATCATAAAAGAAAAATGTAATTCTTTTATCGTTGTTTAGTTTCCATATCCACCAAGTGTTGCTCATTTCCGCTTTGGTTAAAACTACAAATTTTATTATTTACAAAAAAGTATAGAATTTTTAAATATATGAAAATGTCCTTGAAGAGATAAGGGGCCTGTTGTGCGAAAACCATCGACAGTGACCAAAACAAGAATATTTACTTTTTACTATATTCTTATTCTCCACATTACAAGCTATAAAATGATGGGCCATTTTTCTAGAATCGAATTACTATTGCCAAAGTTATGAGTAAAAGTGTTATAACTTCTCTGTACTGAGGTACACAATATCTTATGCTGATTACTCAGTTTAACATTTGTGACCTAAGCTCACAAAAGGGCTGTAAACTCGCACCGCACTGTATTGATAAACAAGCCTCCATAGCCAGAATAGGGTGAATTTTGTGTGAATTGGGATTTTGTGTAATAAATAATGTATAACTTTTAATCTTACTATTCCTGAAGTTTGAGTTTAAAATTATAACTGTAAGACGTAAAATTAAGCCATTTTCGGATGGGAGCTAGTGAAAAATGAATAGAAACCTGCAGAAAATAAAAGCATTTTTCTCAAAACTTGATTTAAGAAAGTTGATAAGATGACAATTATTCAAACGGTCTTAACTTTTCTTCCAGACACCCAATTGAGTTCATTTAACTGTCATTTTAAAGTACTGTATATGATATGTTCTATGCCATTATAACAAAAACTCATTTTGGCCTGAGGACGAGTTTACAGCCCTTTTGTGAGCTTGGGTCACATTTAGAGATTGAAATTTTCAAGTTTTTTTTTAACTTGACACGAAAGAAGCAGAGCTTTTATAAATACTGTACAATACAATAGTTAATCAAATATATTATTTAATGGCTAAATGATTAAATTATTTGAGGTTTTTCTTAAATATAACCATCTAAATGTAAACTGAAATTATTACCAGGTGAAATATGTGGCAAAGACAAGCCAAACCAGTCACTCGTCGCAAATCGTGTTTTAGAGAAAATGGCGAAAACATGCTTGAATGTCAAATTTTAAAAAATCTTTTTTATTGTACTAAACTAATCTTTATATATCTATACATCATGCTATGCTGTTATTTTTCCCATTTTTAATGTTAAAACAACACTTTTTAAAGATTTCATGATAATTTCTGCATGAGAAATGCCTGAAATCATAAACTTTGACTTCTGATTTCACATATTTTGTTCTTTAAGCAGATGTATGTTTAAATGCTTGTAACTTCATAAGGAAATGTCAGATTTGAATGATTTTTTTACCATTTTATAGCTCTTATTGTACTCTTTAACCCTGTATTAATAACTCAAAAAAAAGATTTTTGCAACCAGTGACTGGTTTGGCTTGTCTTTGCCACATATATTTTAGAACTCTTATCTTTGGGACTGGACAGGACACCACGTTTTTTTTGGCCAAGAAGTGAGGGAAATGTATCTTTTACTACTATTGCCAACTGCTATTCAAGGGAAATTCCTGTTAAGGGAACACTTTTTTGGTCCTAAAGACTGAGTGTCCCCTTATATGTTTTCTACTGTACATAAAAAAAAAAAACAGAAACAATGTGAAAATGCTGTGGATTGTCAGAAGCGAAATAAATCTCTGTTGAAGACTGTCTTTTATTAAAAGTTATATTGTACATGAAAAGATAAATAATAACTCAGATCAAACAGAAAATCATGCAGTTGACTGCCGCCAGCCAATTTGAATACAATGGTTTATGTATCTAACTTTAGGTTGAGAGCAATTGATTGTTGAGTATCAAGTAACTTTCCAATTACTGTAAGCAATTTCCAAGTAATGAATAGAATGTTGAAGGGTAAATCAGTTAACTATATTTGAGACAAGGAAGTTTGTGTGCAAAATTATTTCACTAGCGTTAAGTAGAGTATTGAACATTAGTGCCCATAATGTTTCTCTTTGGGTGTTTATTGATTCAATGATTACTTTACTTAAGTAGGAAAATCTCATGATGTCACTATCATTATCATCACTTCCGGCATTATATTGCACCTTTCTTTTCAGATTTAAAAAGCTAGCCCCTGTGTTTTCCCTCAAAAACCCACAGCAAGTATATGCAACTGCCCAAGCCCAAAGAAAAAAGAAAAATTCCCAAATGAAGCACCATTGAAAACCTTTAAAAAATAAAAATAAAAATCTAATACCTTTGTTAATATAACATTAACAGAGATCAGGGTTCATACGAATGTCAACAATATACAAAGAAATAATAGGGGGCTTTTGATTTGTGCGACGACGCGGTGCTAGAATGGAATCACTCATGCGTGACCGTCCTACCTGGCGTCCTACGTTCTCTGCATACGTAGATTTGGCCAAATTGTGATCTTGAGGTGTGATCTTAACGTTCTCGCATGCATGTTATTGAAACAGTGAATTTTATTATGACTTTTTTTTAACACTTTACTATTTTAACTTGTTAATATCTTAACGTATTTCTCATCATTGCCATGTTGTATTGTCTTGTGATTTTTCATGTAATTTTATAATTTTTAACCAAGACTGTTGTAAAGGAAAAAAACAAATTGCATATTTTAAAATGGGATAATAAAGTGTTCTTTAATCTTGAACTTTAATTATTATATTTTTATTGTTAATAAAAATTAACATTTCTGGCAACATATGATTTGGTACTCGAGTTTATTTTGTTGTGTAAGAAATACTGGGTTATTTCCTGAATTTGTTTTATAAGCATGGATATTTTGTTTGTATAAATGTAGACATGTTTTTTTTATTACCAAACCAGAGGGAAGTATATTTAAATTCTTTTTTTTTTTTTTGACAGAATTCAAAAAGCTTTGGCGAAGCATAGCAGTCGATTCAATAGACGAGAACAAAATTGATGAATACTTAAAAAAGCAAGGTATCACGTCCATGCAGGACTCTGGTGTCAAGAAATTTGTAAGTAAAATTGTTTTTATGAAAGCAACAACATACAACAGTACAATACAATTGCAATTTTCCTTAAACGATTCAAGTTGAAGTTGAACATATATAAAGAATTAAAGTTAATAATTAAAACTTGGCACAAACTACGCCAAGACAGTTATCGACCAGAACGATGCCATGCAGATCACAACGAGGTGCACACAACTTCTTGTTTTGAACAATCTACTCAGTGAAGCCAGGACGAAACATGAGAGCTATGTTTTTATATGATTTTTTATTTCTGTTTGTGTAGAAAAACAAACAAAACAGGAATTCTGATATATGACTCGAGATATCATTTCTCCAAAAACAACAAGGAAACTTGTTTGTTGTCCGGAATTTCCTTGTTTGTTCTATCTATCAAATTTATATAACAAAAGCAAAACTTTGTTTTCTATGTATAGAAAAAAATTGGAAGAAACCACTGTTATTAATATATTCAGTCCATATTGATATTATTAATTTATCTTATGAAATATTGTATATTTTAATACATTATTAGTAAATATTTGAATGCATTAGTTTCATTCGGTTTGCTTAACAGCTGTAGAACTGATATTAAGCAATGCGCAATTGATGTAAACTTTAATAGCACGAGCTTTCGTTGTTGTTATCAACATGACTTCGTCAGGCTATGTCAACATCAGCGTAAGCTGACAGTAAGTTGACATCAATTGTGCTTACTATCGATAAAACAGTCTATTAATAACAAATGTTTTCCATGTGAATTGAAGGCTTTTGAGATTTCACCACAAAACAGACAGTACTGTATACTCTGAAAGTGAATCTGTATTATGTATAGGAAGTAATTTGGGAAGGAAATATAGTAGTTGTTTACTGGAAGTCAGTCACATGTCATAGTATGACCAAGCTCTACAGTGACAATGGGCACCTTCTTCGGCATTTCATTTAAGCAGTCAATTGAATCGGAACTATTTGTAAGGTGTCAAAATTCACTGTGAGCAATGGTCAAAGGCGCGGAGACGTTACAAACGTCAAAGTGGCTTGTATTCAAGAGTTTACCTTGTGCTACAACTTCTTAGAAGAACTGATGATGTGTTGAGAATATTTCTAAGAAAATTTAGAGATATGCATGTCAATTCCTCTCAGAACTATTCACATGTTGTATTGCCAATTTTATACTTTTGTTTACTGTATCCGTCATGCAAACTTTCAAACAGTAATATAGTTTTATGATTAAGAATTTATTGTTTTTTTTGTTGTTGTTATTACTGTTATTATTACTACAACAAAAATAATACAGAAATCATTTAGTATCAGAACAATACTGTTGTCTCTTGATGCACTCCACTCGCATGTTCGCAAGGTGGTGATATGCTGAGGTCCATTGGGGTTCACCAAGAGCTAGTCCCTGACTCTTCTTCTTTCCACCCACTGTTCGACCACAGCACTTACCCACAGCAAATCACAGAGGGTCAGAGACCATTATTTGTTTTTTTTTACACTGAAATTACCCCAAAACAAGGCCTGAAAGCCACTTCTAGGTTAGGGGCTAGAGCCACTTCACAGCCTGTCAACAATGCAAGTTGGGTTTATCTAAGCACAGCCGGCTAAGATTGGACAATGTGTCGTTTAAACTCCTGACCACAAGTTCAACAACCAAAATGAAAACTGCTGAGCCAAACGGCCTTCCCCAAATTGTATTTGTATTTAAAAATATGTTTGATTCTAAAAAAAGAAATCAAAGCTTACCATTATTTGAAATTTCAAATTCACAACAGTATTGTTTTGAAAATACAGAAGCGCATTATTGAAGTTTATCCAAGTTTGATTTGATTTTTTTTAATTTATTTTGGCATCTCACAGAAAACACAACAATTTAAAAATGTCATCAAGAAAATCATTGGGAAAAAAAAATTGAATATCATAAAAAAATTAGACTAACTAAATCAAATGTTAGTACATATTAAAAGTATTGAATCAAACATTCAACATCCAGGCTAGTTATCTGTAGGTCATGGGCTCGATTCCCACCCGAAACACTGGCGAGATTTCTTTTTTCGCAGGTACGGTATTTGGGAACGTACTGAGCATTCAGTACGAGAACACATCAGGTAGGGCAAAACATCATTCCTATTAAATCTCCTGATGCAACCACCACCTGAATTATGCAATATCATTATCTTTTATGCCTCAGACTCCAGTACAGAAGAGAAGAAAAGGCGGAAAGAAGAGAAAGATAAAACAACTGTTGAATGAGCATGTGGCAGACCAATTAAAAGACTACACAGAAGACAACAATGGACAATGATACTTGGAAGCTATACACTCTTTGTACACATAGACTATGAGTTTTGATTTGATTTCATTAATCAATTCCCAGCACCCAAAAACTACCAGATGAAATATATTTTAGAACTCTTCCTTTGGGACTGGACTGGACACCACATTTTTTTTTTTTGCCAAGAAGTGAGGGAACCTATGTATCTTTTACTACTATTGCCAACCTCTATTCAAGGGACATTCCGGTTAAGGGGACACTTTTTTGGCCCCAAAGACTGAGGGTCCCCTTATATGTTTTCTACTGTACATAAAAAAAATAAACCAGAAACAAAGTTAAAATGCTGTGGATTGTCAGAAGCGAACTAAATCTCTGTTGAAGACTATCTTTTATTAAAAGTTATATTGTACATGAAAAGATAAATAACTGATTAATTATGATTTCAAATATTATTATGTACTTGGTTATGTAGTTAAGCTCAACTACTTTTGAGGATGAAATACTATGTAAATACTGTAAAACCTTGAATAGAAGACCTGGCTTCTTTAGATGGCCTTTTTTCAAGGTATTTTTTTTTTAGATGGGCTTCTTTTTGAGACAACTTTTGCAAAGTAAAAAGTGGGGCTTCTTTTTAAAATGAATGCTGTAAATTTTGGAATTATTACTATAAAAACAATAGGATTCCCGAAAACATTTTTGAACCATGAAATGCTGTTAAAATTATTTCATTCAAATTTTTATTTTGACAATTTCTCTGAACTATAAACTTAACTAGATTTATGATACAAAATCAACAAAAATGTAATTGAAACAGTATTATATCTTCATGATTAAGATTAAAGTGTCCATAAATGATCAATACAAACAATTGTTAATAGATATGTTTTCCTAATATTTGCACTTCATTGTTTATCTCAGTTTCTTTGAAATTCATGTACTGTACAGTTAGTGTACTGTTTACTATCTTGAAAGGAAGCCAATACTATCGTTACTTCTTTTTGAGGTTCTTTTGCAAACTAAAGACAGGGGCTTCTTCTCGAGATTTAGCCCACCAGGTTTCTGTTTGAGGTTTTACGGTATGTAAAAAACCAAAGTGAAAAATGTAATCATAAAATCCAGTATTCTGTCTATTTTTTACCTGAATGCCCCTTGATATTTTTTTTATTACATATTATAGGACTATTTTTATCACATTCTTTGAAAATACAGTAGGCCTATGTATATTTTTTTTATTAATAATTGTCCTAATATATGATACAGTCACAATCAGGCATTCTTAAAACAAACATTTTTTTTTTTTTTTTTTGGTTTTTGAATGACAACTTTGTGTAAATTTTGTAAATAAATCTTATCATTCAAATATTTTATTGCTTTGTTTTTTTGTTTTTTTTCGATAGTAATTATTACCTCATTGTTTATTTTAATAGATAGAATCATGACATGTGATGACATGCCAGCAAAAATTAGTCTAGACTCCTTCGTGCTCTGTCATTATGACTAACAACAACAAGGCTACACAACTACGCTCTATGTAATTAAATTATATTGTTTTGAGCTAAATTACAATGTTGGTTTCTTCCAGTTGAAAATTAGCATGAGTTGTAAAATGTGTGCAAATTGGCGATCAAATCATATATTTGTACAAAATAACTATATATTCAGAAAGTCATTGCATGTAAATTACAGCTATAATCATAAATATTGCTTACAGACATTGAACAAGATACGAAAATGATTTTAAAAACATGTACCAGTAATTTTAATTAATAATTTGTACCAGAAATTTTACATACTAATAAATTAGTCATTTTAATTTTAACAATTAAATTGTCTTAAAGGCCAGCATCAGTCTAAATAGAGTATGCAATATTTTACTTGACATTAGTTAATGTTAATTAATATTAAGTTTATTTATGAAAATTAAAATCAATATTAATAATAATTATATTTAATTAAATTGTAAGTACGGTTTAAATACATAAAAAAAACAAGTATGGAGAACAACCATTTAAAATTGTAAGCATAATTTAATGACCTTAAAATTTGAGAAAAGAGAAATGTTTGAATGTTTAAATAGAATCAATAAAAACCAGATTATAGTAAAGGGCATTCAATAAATAACCTAGAAAACATGCATAAATATTACCTTTTCTATATCTATCTGTTGATATGGCTCAGGTCTTAAATTGGCAGGTAGTCAACTTACTGTAAATTGCCAGTATTGAAGAGAGGCTTATTAAAGATTATGTGAGGGAGAAGTATTATTTAGCTGGCATAGGACTGAATTGTTTAGTACCGTATTATGAAAAAAAAAAACGGTTGTTCAAAATAATAATTTAGGCTTATTTATAAGTGTCGCCGTAGTGCGTTTTTGAGTAACACCTGCCCCTTTCACACATTCACAATTTTTGCAACGCACGATTTTTCAATTTTTGAAAATCGCAGTGGCTTCGTACTAAAGCTTCTAGTCAATCGTAATTCACCGTAGTGCATTAGGCTAGATCTTCATGCCATCGTGATTGAGCACAATTTTTTTGGGAATGTTAAAAAAAAATCGTGCTCAACCGTAGCTGTGAAGTAAATCTTGGTCTACCGCAGCAGCATCGTGTGAGTGTCGTAACGTTGTCGTGACGGCGTCAGTGCAGTCATACTCATTCCCTAGTGGCCACAACACCTAGAGCAGCTAGCAGCTTGCATATATTGCAGATTTTTTAACATGACGACGACAACATGCAAATATTCGTTAATTACACCTGTTTTGTCATGTGATTAGTTAAATCAAACAGGTGTCTTGTTAAATCGTATTGACGTCGTGTTTTCGTCATAGTGACGTCGTAATACAGTCTTGGTAATTCGTAGTACGTCGTGACAAACCTACGTATCCTTATAATTTGTAACCATGTCGTCGCACTATCGCATTATGCCCCTTTCCCACATTCACGATTTTTGCTACGACAGAGCACGATTTTTCAATTTTGAAAAATCGCAATGGCGTCGTCGTAAATGTCGTGGTCAAAAATAATTCATCGTATTGCATCGTACTAGATCTTGATGTCATCGTGATGGAGCACGATTTTTTTGGAATATTAAAAAAAAATTGCGCTCAATCGTAGCTGTGAAAAAGATCTTGGTCTACCGCAGCGGCATCGTGTGAGTGGCGTAACGTTGTCGTCGTTTGTCGTGACTGTGTCTTGTCTATTCGTACTACCAACAACACATACGACAAACCAAGACGTTGCTGCGGTGCTAAGACGATTAGTTACGATGCCATTAGGATACCATCAAGACTGTGGTTTATATCACGTGGCTCTGGGTCGGAAAAGTTTTTCAACACACTGAACAATTCCTTGCTCACTTAGAGAAAGTTTCTGAAGCCTCTTGGGTCTTCTTATTTAACTCTACTAGAAGTGTTCATACTGTCTAAAATATGGACGACGTAAGAGCCATGGCTGTACCCATACACTTCGTTTAGGCCTATGCATTCGACGTGACCGACGCTTACTCTTGATTATCAAAACTGTAGCAGCCAACAAATTTTCTTCTTCTATAGCAGCAGCTTTCAAATATTGATGGTGTTTCAACAGTGCGTTTTTTGTCATGTCATGTGATGTTTGTTTTTGTGATGTGCGTCTTGTTAAATCGTGCTAACGTCGTGCTTGCGTCTTTGTAAAATCGTAGTGACGTTGAATTAAAATTTTGGTAATTCGTATTACGTCGTCACAAATCGTAACTCTATCGTTATAATTCGTCAAAAAATGTCGTCGCACTATCGCAATAGTGCCGTAATACATCTTGACGGCGTCCTAGTAGCGTCTTGATGAAACGTAAAACTTTAAATTTTTGAGTACGAATCACTACGATCGTAGCGAAAATCGTGAATGTGGGAAAGGGGCATTACTCCCGTAATACATTTTGACGGCGTTTTCAAAGCGTCTTGAAAAAGTAAGATTCGATTGAACTTGAAATTTTTAGTATGAATCGCTACGATAGAGCACGATTTTAGAACTTTTAAAAATCATGGTCTATCGTTTAAAATAAATAAATGTGTGAAAGGGGAAAAACATGTTCGGGGTGGGACATATTCGAGAAGGCTCCTATATTATTCGATAGAGTTGAAGTTTATTTGATCATTTAAAGTTGAAGTTCTTTGTAGTAAACTCTGTAAATAAAACTATTTTTATGACGCCTTGTATCATTTAAAGTGAATACTTTCATCATATTAACAGAAATAGTCAATTTTTTCAGTTACTTTTTTATGGTTGTTGATGTGACAGACGGTATAACTAACATTGAGGAATGTGTACAGTATTGATGAATTGATATTTAAGTAACCATGTATGGTTACTTCGTTTTTGTGCAGGTTCATTTATTTATACCAACAACCAAATGACTATGTTTGATTATTTAATAGTCCTATATTGAAGCCTGGTCACGCACTTCATACCTATGGTAATATGTACTTGTGAACTTTTTAAGTTATAGGCCTAGTAAGGTTATATAGCGATTGAAGTCAAATTTTAAAAAGAAAGGTTCCCACAAATATAAGAAAAACCCCGTCGGAACCAAAAATTCAATTACTGTACCAAATACTTTTAATTTTTAAGTGGTTATAAGAACGGTTTACGGAAAATTGGATAGGCCTACATTAGCGGATCCAGAAAATCAAAATTGAGGTAGCCCAGAAAGTCAATTTTACAGGTTGATTGGTCAGGATTACCACCTCAGCTCAACCTTTGGCTGGAAATTTTATGTCTCTGGCACTTCCAGATGGCCGGAAAATATGGCGCTCTTAGACTAAAAAAATGTGAATGCAAGTTATTTTCCCCATATTTCTTTAAGGGGTGGGGATGGCCCGGGCCAGCTTGACACCCTCCCCCACCTCGCCTGAATCCGCCTGTGGGATCAGTTAAATTCATAAATAGGCCTATATACATATCACCATAGTGGTTAGTTCATATTCTTCTAGATTGAATCCTGAGCGATCAATTTTGTGATTTGCTAATGTTATGATCTGACGCGATCAAACGCGTCCCTAGACATGCTTTTAGACACATCAGCGACAATGTGTTTTTTTTTTAAATTTATTTTATTAATTCCAGAAATATATTAGCCAAAGTTCACACTTTGTTTAAGTATGTATAACTTAGGCTATTGATACCTTCATATGACTTCCTGGTCATGTATTAAATTATGGGATGTGGTTTATCATAGAAAAGGTACAAACATTACAACACAATCGACGGCATGCATCGGGTAGTGATGCCCCAATGAGTTCCCTCAATAAAATGAACTTTTATCTAGTAACAATAGCCAATCGACATCCAATATTTCCTATAGGCCTAGTATCTGAAAGAGCATAATGACGATATAGTCAGCCAGGGGCGTGGGACGTGAGAGAATCAATGTGGTATTGTTTCCATCTTCATTTTTTCTATTCCTCATAGACAACCATATATTATTTTTTGTTTTATTCACTATATAAAGCTTGATATAAAATAGGTCCTACATTAGACAGCCAATTACAAAGTTCTGATACATGTGATGGTCGCATTTTTACTATGTTCTAAACCCATTTACCATGAAGACTAAAAACTTACAAAAGGTAAAGATGATGCATCTGTATATTTTGATTTGTTGATCAACGCCGAAAGTTCGATTGTATTAACCATTCGTGGAAAATAAGTTATTTTTGGCGGCTTTCAATTTGTTTTTGGGGCCTTCTTACATTCGTTTTCAAACAATTGTTTGTAGGTCTACTTTTTTATGCACAAAATTCAGATCCCAGTTTGGCCTACCTATTAATTATTGCAGATCTCTGAAAATCTATTTTAGAAGAAAACGAGTTATTTCGGTCTTATCATATTTCAATTGTTACTTTTATAATTTGCTGGGCTGCTTATCAAGTAGGCTAATGTATTATTTCCGTTCGTGTCAGCAAAAACGGAATTACTCGGTATGAATTGTTTCCGAGGCATTTCTTACTTCAATGATGACACCAAAGAAAACTAAAACAATAACTAGTAGGCTTTAGATCAAAGTTCATAATTCATTTTTTTTTTCACATTCAGAATTTATTTGTAAAAAAAAAGTACATTTAGATTATATAATTGGGTCGCCTTGGACTCAAACCAAGAAATTGTAACAAAGCATTGATACAACACATGTAAATAAAATATTACGCTTTCCCTTTCTCCCAAGATTTTTTAATATAATTTTACTACCATTTAAAATATAATTGGGTCGCCTTGGACTCAAACCAAAAAATGGTGACAGCTATAAAAAGTATTGATACAACACATTTAAATAAAATATTACGCTTCCCCCCCCCCCCAAGATTTGTTAATATGATTTTACTGCCATTTATAATTAACAAAACACTAAAAGTTAAAAACATTCGATTGCATTAACGTACTTTTTATTTTATTCTATTAAGGATTATTTACATATTTATTTATTTACGACAAGGAATATTTAAATGTTAAATCCGGTATATTAAGGCTTTAAGTACAGTATATATTGAAGCGTCAAGTATAAAATATTCACATATTGTATCTTTTCGGTTATCGTTACTTTAATATATGCATATACTTCTCTTGTTGATCAAATAAACTTTAACAATTATAGGCCCACAATTCATATTTGAAATACTTACTTTATATATTCATTCATTCATCATTTTATTTTCAGAATTTCATATCCATAGTATAAAGCAAATAGACAATAATACATATAAATTGACAAAACTCTACAAAGAAAAATTGCTTACACTAAGGCTTACTTTTAAGTTATTAAAAGAGGTGCAGTTAATACAGAGCAAGGTTCCACTGCTGATAGGCTTGACGAATTAAGCGTGTACCCCTTTATAGCTAAAACCAGCGTCATAATTTCCCGGTATAAAAAAAAAAAAAAAAAAAAAAAAAAAAAAAAAATCATTTTTTTTTTGGCCTAGGCCTATACTTAAGTAAATAAGCAAAAATTGATGTGTTTCGATCTATAAGACATGGTAGACCTATACTTTTGAACTCTTATGAGCAAAATAATCTAACTGAATTTTTGGGTGTTTTCAATAATTCCTAGGTAGTACATATTATATAAGAGACTCATATAATATTAAAGATGATGCGTATTATATTATTTTCTAAAATTAAGTCGATACAACAAATATTATATATTACTGTCAGCCTATTCAAATTGTTTTTATACGAGATATACCGATTTGGGTTTTACGTAGGAGGTTTTTGTTTGCGAAGGTGAAGTGTTGACTATGGCCAGCTACTGAGTCATCGCCGTGAGAATATTGCGGATTCAAGATGGTTACATCCTATTTCGGCCCGGTCTTCAATAGCATTTGTTATCCAAAATTGCATGCGATTTTATTCAGTGACCGCACTCGAGGCGTCTGACCTTTAGTCTTTTAGAGTATATACTTGATTATTCATAATTCAAAATTAATGTAATGTACATAGTATAT